CCTAAACCCTAAGTGCTAAACCCTGAATTCTAACCTCTACATTAGGAGGACCCCCCGACCTGTAATAGTGGTATAATAAGAATAGAAGAGGACCCTAATATTATAGTTACTATTACTGGGTGGGGGGTAACCCTAAACCCTAAACCCTAAACTCCGAAGAGCAAAGCCGCTTGGTCTGCAAACCTCTCCATGTCTGTTCTCAAGCTGTAGATGTCAATGACCTGGGTTGCTGTTAGGGAACTTAAATTAAGTTACTAAGGGTTTAGGGTTTAGGGTTTAGGGTTTGGGGAAACCCTATAGGGTTTAGGGTTTCCTTAACAGCAACCCAGCGACCCGGGCGGATGAGGAAGGCTCTTCCCATTCCTTGCTTATGTGGGGATTAGGGCCATTAAGGTTTAGGCTTTAAGGTTTAGGGTTTAGGGCTTAGGGTTTAGGGCTTAGGGTTTCGGGTTTAGGATTTAGAGATTAGGGTTCAGGTGATTACGGTCAACCGCAGTTCCCAAGCCCTACATACATCAATATGGTAGCCTCAAATTTCAACTTCCAAGACTTTAACTGACATAGTGGCTTCAGCTTTCTCTCTCATTAGCACACTCTTTACCTGAACGAAACCCTAAACCCTAGACCCTAAACCCTAAGCCCTAGACCCTAAACCCTAAACCCAAGATTCCGTCTTGCCCTCCTCGGCATTGTGGAAGACGTGCATAACACGACCGCGGCTCTCCCATTCCAGCCGAATCCAAACTTGCTGCGACTCATGTGAGCTGGAGCTTGCTGAGGGGTCCACACTCACCTGGCCGGACTCTCAAAACAGGATCAACGATGGGGACCCTTGGGATATGTATGGGGCTTAAAATGCTTCCCAACAAGGATTCTACAACATTTTTTTCGGGAAACTTCCGCCTCTATGCGGGAAAGGTCTGCCGTCAGGCTGTCGAAGTCTCGGTTCAACTGCCTCAGCATACCTGGGGGTGTCCTAAATTTAGGTGTACCTGTTCGGGGGTCCCTTTAATTAGGGTCTATATTGGGGTCCTGTTATAACCCTAGACCCTAAACCCTGAAGGTCTATATTGAGGTCCCCTTATTTGGGGAAACTGCCACCTTCAGCCCCCGGCTCTTCGTACAAGAGGCTCAGCACCTCCGTTGCTGTCAAGAAACGCGAAGAACGCTACCACAGTATGAACAACACCGAAGACGTGGCTCTCTATTCAAAGTGTCTGCATATATATGTATATATATAAATATGTATACACACAAGGCATACCTACAATCCTATATCTACGCTCATACAGATTATAGCAACTCAATGTGTAGGTATGTACATACACAAAAATATCGCAAACACTACACCCTAAATCCTAGATCTTAAATCCTAAGCCCTCAACCCTCAGCCCTTAACCCAAAGCCCTAAACCC